TCTGTATTTTCTTTATACTTGCTTATTTTTACATTTACAGTTCTTATTTTTTGAAACATAAAATATTAGTTACTTTGTTAAGTAATTATTTTAGTGATAGTTAAAGTTTTTTTTAGGTTTTTTATATAGTAGTAAATTATAAGAACAAGAAAAAAGTCGAAACTTTGAAAATGCCGCTTTTATATTTATTACACGTTTAAAAGTTATTTAATCATCATTTCTGATTTTTAAAAACGTATAAGATTGATTAATCATGTAATATTGAAGGTACCAGTTTGGAACTTCAATGTCTGTCCATAGACAGTATATACTGTGTTCAGGTAGCAGAACAGTGCAATTACGCAAACTGATCTAAACCGAGAATTAGTTACAAGAATTGAGAATTCCGGAAAGTTAACGTTATAGATGTCTTGGTCAAAAAGATCGTATAAAGAAACTACGATGCATCTTCAGGTGTAGTACCTGACGTTGTAAAATGTTTATTAAATTTGTACGACGTCTTTGATGATAGACATGTAATAAGGCGAAGATGAAGATGAAACATCAGAAAAATTGTTCGACCGTAAATATGACCATAGGGAAGAACGATCCAGAGAAGACCAAAACTTAGGTAACAAGATAACATAAGAGGAATGATCTAAAATCCAACGGAGTTAAAGCATGGAGAAAGTTGCCAGAGGCAGGGGCGAAAGGAAGATGTTCTGAAGAAGCCTTTGGGATACATGACTGACTGAAATATGCCACTGATACTAGATGAAAATACCAATCCAAGATTTTGTTTTAATTCATCAATTTGGATACTTATCTTATGAGTAACTGCAACCTATAAAATATATTAAAATAAAGTATATTCCATTCAGAGAACTTTTTTTCTCACAGGTGCGTCGCCTCGAAATACTTTCCAGATAAATACATTTACTATATGATGGTTTCGTCAGGTACCTATTTTTATAGATAAATATAATAATATTTTTTTGTTTAATTATTACATATGCTAATATCAGTATTTCTCTAACAAATATTAACAAAAATATTAGATTATATATAAAAATAAAATAACAAAATTTAATTATTTAAAAATAAACACCAAGATGTTTTATGCAGTCACGTTTATCACAAATTTTTATTAATACTATGTTTAGTATACATATAAATAAAAAATTGATTAATTCATTTTAAAACATTAACTACGATAATTAATCTAAAAAAAAGTATCCGACAAAAACTAATTTGAATGGAGAATAAAGCATATAATTTTAAACAACCGTCGCCGGGCGCCACTGAATAAACATCACAAACTATGTATTATGTAAAGTCACGTACGGTCAGGACATAGCAATTTAGAAAAGTAAGTGATACCTCACTCTCTGGAGGCCCTCCCCCTCAAATCGCAGTAAGCTTATACTGCGAACAGACCAGCCTTAAAGACTTGTTATACCACGGTATAGTAGTCTGAGAGAGTAGAGGTAGCATAAGTCGACTCTATCGAACCACACCAAAAATGGCTTGATAACCGTTCACTACGAGAAGTTACAAGAATAGTACTGATGCTAAAAATTGTGGGTAAGTGTTTGTTTTAGTGAATGAAAGTAGACAAATGAATTCAGAAAAAGAAAATTGATTCAAAATGTTTATCCTACTGTTGGCAAATGCATTAGTAACTGAGGGTCGCGAAGCATATCGAACGAAAATAAATAACTACACACATCTAATTAATGAAATTCTATAAATAATGTGTTTACTCCATTTTAAATTAACTTTTGTATTAATCATTAACAAATTTTCCAAGTACCAATCTGAGAAACATAAAAATAATGGGTACACATATAATCATAACTGCACATTTAAAAATGCTGAATACTCAACCAAATCACCTCGTTCCATGAGTAGAGTGCGGCGGGCGAGTGGAAATATGGCGGTGGTGGTGGTAGTAAGTAGAGCTTACATGCCACAAGTTTCAATTCACTCTGCCTCACAACCAACTATGCACTCAACTGCTAATCTACTATTCAAAACGTTTTTCGAGGTTTTTACGGGTAGATTACTCCTACTCTAACCAGTACATATATGCTTCGATACTCTACCCGTGAAAAACTGGACAATAACGACAGACTTAATATATACCTTGTTTAATCTAGTTAAAGATGACGAATGTAATTTTTCAATGCTACGTAATATACCTGTACACTTTTCGACATTTAACACTCATTAACAATAGCCAATAACATTAATTAGTCTTTATCTACACAAATTGAAACCGCCTTTTGTGACTCACGTGTTTTCCATGTTTATTGTGCTTGTGCTTGATTAAAACAAAACTTATACACATCATGTTTACCTTGAACAGTTAAATCTCACGTAACGTTACCGAAAAATATACACAGCAGCTGATTACATTTGTATTAAAACTAAATAAAAACACTTTCTAACCTGAATATTTGAGAATCGTGTTGTTGTTATTGTTGACAGATGATTTTTTGTTGCTATTCTTGATTAAGATAGGGTGTGGAGGAGGTTTTAATTCTTGGGAACGGGCAAGAGATATCACTGCCGAATTTTTCGACTTCGGTAACGTATCCGCTTTAATTATAAATTTATTTCCGCGCGTTTTTACGCGAATTTTAGGCAATGTGCTCATGTTTCTCGTTTGGCACAGGTAAAACTACCTTATCGATTTCCAACAAACAATGACGCATCGTTATCGTTCAAGATAAGCGCGAGAATTTATCAATAGCCGACATTATCTTTACTCCCAAACAGAAAAAAAAATTCGGAAACAACGTTCGCGACGACGTAAAAACCAGATAATCCCCGACTGCGTTATTTCAACACCTTACAACCGATCCGTCGTTATGTTACTGAGTAAGTTTTGTACGCTAAACGTAAGCGCAAACATCTCTCCGGTTAAACCACTCGAATGCACCGTGTAGTGTTGCCAGGTCGCCCAAAAATCTGTGATTACAGGAATCATCTAGTTAAACGAAACGAATGCGAGTAGCGGTGATTTAACCAAGGTTTCTTAATGTAAACCTATGGCCGTACTTATATTATGTTTTGCAACCATTTTGTTGCAAACAAAAGATATAGGGCTGAGTAAAATGATATAACATTATAAACAAAATAATATGAAAGATCTAATGTATATTTAAAACTTTTTAAACTTTATTTCTTATATTTTATACGGATAAATTACTGAAACTTCCTCAGAATATTAATCTTGAGACAAGCGATACGATTCAATATCCAGATCAAGCCAATAGTAATCAGCTCATATAGAATTGAAAACAGTGTCAATCTTCAAACTATGACCACACTACCAGAAAAACCTTAAATTCATTCAGAGTTAAATAGATATTTTATAAAAACTATTTATAGAAAAAGGTCAAATTATGCTTGTAGGGCGAGGTAACTCATTTGTGAGTACAATTTCAAGAAAGAAAATGTTTTCTCTCATCTTTCACAAGTATTTGGCACCCAGATAGAAAAAAACGGAATTACTTGAGAATGTTGGCAGATATAAACAATGGCTCGTCAAGGCATGGCTTTCGGAGGTCATGACGAAAGAGAAAGTTCATTAAATAAAGGAAACTTTAAGGAAATATGTGGCCTAATAGCAAAGTATAGCAAGGACTTTGACATTCTACATAATTCGCATAAAAACTATACCAGTCCCCAAATACAAAATTAAATTATTGCCCTCTTGTCATGGGCGTCTTTAAGAAATATACTTGACGACATTAGACAATCCGGAACTTTTTCAATTATGTGTGGTGAAGCTTGCTCTTTCAAAAATGAACAATTGTCTTTATGTGTTCGCTACGCATCGATAGATCTAGAAATTCGAGAAAGATTTCTTGCATTTCTTGACTGTTCAGAAGACAGATTGGTCACGGATTTATTCACTATAATCTACAAAAAATTGGAAGGGCTTAATCTTAGCAACTTGCAGATGTTAGGCCAATACTATGACGGAGCTGTGGCAGGCAATACAAGTGGTCTTCACACACAAATGCGAGAGAAATTTCCAGCTGCAATTTAAACGCACTGCTTAGCTCATAGACTTAACTTGGCTCTGGTAGACTCGCGTAAACATGTTCCCTCAATATCGACACTTTTTTGTACTTTGGAGGGACTTTACGAACATTTTTCCTCAAAACCATAAAAAATACAAACAGATATTGAAGGACCTCGATGTTGTCCCCAGGTACTTGAGAACTCTGTCAGATACTCCTTGGGTGTGTCGATATACGACTTGCCACGCTCTTAAAACATATTTCGAGGGAATCTTCACAACACTGGAAAACGAAGTTTCTCATACAAATAATAAACAGTCAATTACAGCAGTTGGGATATTATTCAGCATTAAACAACCATCATTTATAATTCATCTTTTTGTATTTAACAAGGTGCTAAACATGGAGTAAAAAATTGGTATCTGACCTATTCCCAATTTTTTAATCCATGTTAAACTTTTTAAAAAAGTGTAAACATGAAATTTAATTGTAAAATGTAATGTTTATAAAATAAAATAAAGTGCTTATTGAAAATGGCAAATTTGCCGAAACGTTTAAGCAAAAGTTAAATGTTTTATTTACATCAGACCGACAAACCCATGAGATAAAAAAGTCTCTATTTTATATATATTATATATATATATATATATATATATATATATAAATATATTATTATAACATTAAAAAACGATATTATTGTTTACTGGATATACAGATTTCAAGTATTTTCTATACAAATAACTATCGGTTTTCGCTGTCTTATAATATTTAATAAGACTTGGCAACATCTTTTAATCTAATAAAATTCGTATCTTCTAAAAAACACTATAAAATGCACCAAACTCTATGATAAAAACCGGTAATGTGGCCCAACCTATACCAATATTACTTTCCGTTAACCGCTTACAGTCGATACCAAACCACACGACTTGGCAACGTGGCCGCGAGCACACCAAATACCATCGCCGAAAACAAAGGAGCACTTACCTTGACTTGAAGAACAACTACGATCGCCTCCTGAGACTGAGCCTGGAGGGGTCGAAACGCCACTCGTCCTGTCACTTTCGTCTTCTTTCCTTTTAAGGGCCTGAAAATGACAAACGCAAGTTTTTATTAACAAGAAAAAATAATGGGTACTTCTAGACAATATATCATTATTAGTACGAAGATCCAAATAGTTTAGGAAACAAAAAGATCGTACCTCTGTTTTAATTTTTAACTTTATTTATACAAGTACTATCTTCTTTCGTAGCCTAAGAACAATATGGCGATTATTCTTACGAACGAACGACTTTTTTCATAATCGACATATTGCTCCTTAGGAGTTTTCATTCTATTGGTCAATAACTAATAATTTATTAAACGAAGAAATTGAAAGAAAACTAATATATCATAAGAAGACAGTATCTGTAACGAAGTCCAAAATTACTTAGCTAACAGGTTACCTAACCAAGTTACCACGTTAGCTAAAGTGGCGTACTGAAGGATTTTCAGTAAATCCTAATAAAGGGGCACTTGTTTTATTCACTAATCAGATAACAATTCATATTAATGAAAAAACACTATCATTTTTGAGAGAAAATAAGTATCTTGGAAATACGAATATTATGTGCAAATTACTTATGCTGAGCTGGTTTGGCGAAACAACGCAACAAATGGCAAGAACATAGTTACAAAGTGCAAAGATTCGCTTGTGTATAAATCACGGGTTTAATTGAGATCGTGCCTCACTTCAGCCTTAGGGGAAATACTGGACATTCCCCCTACAAATAGGTAAGTAGGATCACTCTAGCTCTAGAATGAGCTTGCCTTACAGGCTAACTAGGTTCAACTCGTGTAGTCGAGTTGAACGAGGGGTTTTAGAATTTTAATATCCATTTTTTTTCCTTATTTGGATCTCTATACATTTTTAACAAACTATTGCAAATATACGCATAATACATTTACACAAAAATGCAATACATACAACGCCAAAAGAGTACACAACTAAAATTGATTAATAATATTCTTCTTATGGTTATAAAAATATTTTCTTGTTGCATGCTTTATATACTTCTAAAATATTCAATATTCTTCTTTTAGAGGCTATCAAGAATGCACAATGTCTAAATTAGGGCCCTGCCTGCATCTCGTACAGAGGGTGGAGTACGTTCTGGAAAACCAAGAGGTGATGTTGGATTTAATTCTCGATATCGATCCTGCTGCATCTCTCTTCTTTATATATAACCATAAGAGGGGAGGCGAGGATGGGATATTATATACTGTGAGAAAACCTGAACAACGTACCGCTTAGATTAGGAGATATATAATAAATAAAACTAGGAATGCCGAATGGATGATGATTTCTAATCATATGAAAGCCTTTCCAAGTGGACATTTGCCCACGAGAGGAGTGGGACAGATGAAATTCTCAACCGAGACTGCGCAGTTACACCTTATATCCGGAGGAGGCTAAAACTACAGAAGGGTCAGGTGCAGGAATTTTCGGTAGTAGGGGAAATTTCAACAATTCTATTCCACTAGGAGAATATACCTCTGCATTTCAGGCAGAAATTTTTCTCAAGAGAAACTAACTTGTTTCTCTTGAAAACTACTAACAGTGCTTTCGAACTGAGGCAGATCAATATATGCACAGATAACCAAGCAGCCATTGGGTCTCTCATAAGCCCTAAGGTGGACTTAAGGCTAGTGTGGGAATTTCGACACGAACTTGACAGACTGACGGAACATTACATTGAAACAGGTATGGGTTCCAAGTAATCAAGGCATATGTGGCAATTAAAGAGCTGATGCACTTGCCAGAAGAGCATCATATTAGCTACAAAATAAGGAGCTGGCCTTAAAGCATCTTCTGCGACGTACAAAAACCCTGGATCTGGAGCCAACACAACTTACACTGGAAAAATATACCCAGTCAAACACATGGCAAGATTTATATTGCACGGACATGTACTAACAGGGCGGAAAACAAGCAGAAATCAGCTCAGAGTCATAACAGGCTTCCTTACTAGACAAGCGCCAGTTAAGAGGCATCTGCATACAATGGGACTGTTTCATGGAGACTTGAACTGCAGATTCTGAAGCAGAAAACGTGAAACAGTCAACCATATTTTGCATGACTGAGGGGCATTGGACCACAGGCGGCAAATACTCTTTGATGACAACGAAATGACTCTAAATATATATGGTACCTATCAACTAGACCTGTATAAGCTAGTACAGGGTTCCAAAATTCTGGAATGGATATTAGAAAGAAATGAAAGATGTATAATAAGCCAGTTGGCTGCAGTACGATCGGTTCATAAGAGACGGCTTACAAAAACAAAAACGGATAAGAGAACGACAAGAATGTGAAGGAAACTTGGTTAAGAGGATTCCAGTGGAGGTACTAGTAAAAAAGATCGTCCGTAGTGAGAAAGATTGGAATTTCGTGAAGAGACAGTTGAAGAGAAACCATGAAAGCAGTATAAGAATTAAAATCAAACTGACTAATTTGATCGATTTTCCTATATGCATCGGACTGTTGGGCTCTCAAGGAAATCGATAAAAAGATCATATATGCGGTCGAGATGTGTTGCTGAAGACATATGCTGAGAATTTTTTGGAAACCAAATGTGTCAATATTAGAACAGTTGAACATCAAGAAAAGGTTAAGGTCGCATACAACAGAGCAAATATTAGCCTATATTGGTCACATTTTTCGAAGAAATGGCCTTGAGCCCATAATACAGGATGGCGTGAAAGGTAATAGAGCTTGAGTCAGATACCCTACAAGGTCCATAGACCATATCGTCTCAACCATTGGCGTTCCACTATCAGAATGTGCAAGATTGACGTAAGATCGAGAAATATGGAGGAGCATCGTCAAAAACAACTTTGATAAATCATGATAACACGATATCTATATGTTATTAATTAGAATTTTCATTGAGTAACAATTATAAGAATTTTTTGGTTTATGTTGGTTACAAATTTTCAAATTATATGTCCTTACAAAATCTTTTATAAAGATGCTTTTTGAAGAATAATTAAAAAGCAAAGTATTTTAATATTGTAAAAATTGAAAAAAATATCAAGAACGTAACTTTACTCTTATTCTCTGTATCATGCATGTAACCACATAATAATAAATGTTTAGGATGCATTATAGCTCTTATAGCGTATTATTGGACATGGACAAATATGGCCACACAATGGAAGTGATTGAATTGATTAGGTTTCAGGTAGAACATAATCGTTGTACAATACAGCATAGAAAGAAACGAAAGAAAAAAACAAAAAATGTATATAATATCACAGGATATTATAGTTTGTTTAAATGATGATTTATAAATCAATCATTGATACAGTGATTTATATAAATAATTATTAAAATAGTAAGTTTTGGTGGAAAGATAAAGAGTATGTATTGTAAATCATTGCAAGAACTGTAACAAATGCTCTTTTAAATGTTTTTACTTACAGTGCCATTTAAATTTTTTTTACATCAGTTGTAGTACTACATCCACCGTTACGTATCAGCTAAACGACTAGTTGATATTTATTTCAACATGAATACTTTCACTTTCTAAACTGTTGTGTTTATGGCGAACGTAAACTTAATGCGTTAGGTAATGCTTTAAAGGGAAAGGTTAACATTCTTTCAATGGTAGGTATATAAATCAGGTTGGTAGCGGATTTTTATACTACAAATGTGATCTATTCTACTTTTCTATCATTAAGGCATTTTTAATACTTATTATTTTAAACACTTGATAAATCTTTTTCATCAAACGACGAATTATATATACAGAATTTTCTACGGAAGATTTACAGCGCAATTCGTTTAATGTGGATGTGAATGCCCATAAGCGGCAATGCCAGTTGAATATCAACAAATTTATCTATACTTCCATACATATACAGTAATACAGCTTCCAGAGAACGTATATACAAAGAATACGAACAGAAAAGCATTATTCGGGTTTTTCAAGTATTGCCTTAAAAATGTGACATATGAAAAGGTAGATTTATATTCTTAATCTGCATGAATGATTGATGAAAAATATATATTGAGAATAACTATATCTGTAAAATAAGATCCAACATCTAACGAGTAACTACCGATAATGCTAGTGCAGCAAGGTTGTGTATTTGTTCCGCTTCTATAGAACATACAATTGGAAAAAAATTAGGGGCCCATGACTATGGGGAAAGATATCAAAATCAATGGAACTTGGAGTATACAGATTACCAAGTTGTTATATCTAAAGTATTGAGAAATAAATTAAAAATATATACAGAGAAAATAAAAACATCACTTTTACACTTAACCAAAATCACCAAGAAAATGACTAGCAAACAAGTCTGCTATTGCCACACTTGATTCAGCTGACAAGTCATTAAAATGCATAATTCTGAATTCCGTGGCTTTTATTCAATTAGTTTACATGATTCGAAAACTGTTTTAAATCTGAGATTTTTTCCTTTTTGAAGAGAGGATGCTTGCTGCTATAAGATGTTTGATTAGTTAGAACATGTGAGCTAATGCTAATGTGAGCTGGTGAACTTGAAATTAAAGGTTTAATATTGACCTTAATAATGTTGGCAAAATCTAGAAATTGGAATCAACGGTAACTTGTTGATGGTAAACAGCAGTGAAACAACCAAAGGTAAACTTTTATAGATAGTCTCACCATTCCTCTCGGATAGGCGCTCTTGAGAGAGACATAAGAGACATCCGTAACTCTCTACAAGAAACTTGGTAAAAATATTTTATTAAGATCACAAGGCTTATTGATGAAGTTTACTGAACAGAAAGGACAGGCTTTGGTACAAAGATCCACTACCAAATACTAGAGACAAAGAATCACCTAATTTTAGAAGACGAAGAGATCATTCTTCTAAATGTGCCTCTCTTCTAGAGATGTTGGTGACCACATTGATCCATCTTATTATATTCAAAGCAAAAAAAAAAAAAAAAAAAAAAAAAAAAAAAAAAAAAAAAAAAAAAAAAAAAAAAAAAAAAAAAAAACACGAACACTACGTGCTTTATATTCACAGCAGCTCGAAATAGATCAATTGACGTTAGAACAGTCCACTTCCTAA